ATTGCGCAATAATTAATTAAGGCATTTTCTTTATTAGGAAAAACACAGAGAATCTTCTAAAATTCATAACTAATTCATCCAAGCTCCGTTTAAGTCCATTCATGTCTCAGTAAATTCATAAAAATCCCTAGAATCCAATAAAAATGGTTTTGCTTCCTGTTTCAGTAGTCTTATAGTGTGTTTTGCTTGTGTGCTTTGTTTGTCGCGTAGATTTTGGCCGTTTCATCAATCCACGGTTCCTCGAAGATGTTGCTTTGGTCTCATCAGTGCGAGAGCAAGGTAAGTCATGCATTACATTTGATCATATTGTACCCAATTTACAAACATTCTGTATTTCTATTAAATGTTGCATCCTTTTACAACATCATATGGGATGGGTCCTATTACTCAGCCATTTATTGTTTACCCTATGCCATTGATAACTTGGGTATCAAAATGACTAGATGTTGGTTTAGGAAATGCTTAGCCATGCTTAGTTCAACTAGTACACAACTGGGGATCACATTATTACATAGACTTTGACTATTAGCATAGCTTTGGATTGGTGCCACCGCAATGGTGTTAGTTAATTAAAATACACTGAATGGTGGGCCGTGGGTGCATGGTTTTGCTGGTCGCACCCATGGCAGTTAAGGACCGGTTCACGGGAAACCCTGGGAGACTTACCATTCTTACCACAAGCGGGAGTGGGTAACTGCTTGATCTAAAGTATAGCTCGACCCTTTCCTAGGCACCGGTGGCGAGGGTGGGCGTGATGGAGTTGGGTCGGCCAGGGTGTCCGGTTGTCCAGCTGCTGGATTCACCGCGACGCACGAGGGGACTTCCCACTGCCTTTTGAGGGGTGGGGGTGAAACCTTAGCGTGGTGTGGATGGTTAGCGGTGGGTTATGCAAAGGGTCTTGTCACGATTTCCCCCTTTGCAGTATCATGGTGATACTTTGGGGCATGGCGACATGTGTAGAATCGTGTCTTGTGGGTACAGTTGTACACCTTTAGCCAGAGTAAAACTATTCGAATAGTCGTGCCCGCGGTTATGGGCGATCAACTAGATTCACCGTGATTAGTCTCACCCCTAGTTTAGCTTAATGAACTGGTGTACTTCAGGTGGTTGGTTGGGTATGTTGTAACGTGGTGTAGCGTTTGACAGTGAGTGGTTAATATTTACTAATTACTATAATTGTTTTTACTACTTTCAACTACTGCTTTTAAATGCTAGTTTTATGCAAAAGAACCTTTAGCCTCCTTTGGTTATATCCTGCATCGTACCTCCTTTTCTGGTATGACTTGCTGAGTACAGTGGGTAGTACTCAGTCTTACTCTCTTTTCCCCCACACCAGAGCTGAAGATCTTCCTAGTGGGAGCTGTCTTGTTGAAGTTGGTTTCGTCGCTGCTGACAAGGATTGCCTGTGGAGTGGAGTCGCCCCGCTGCAGAAGTCAAGCTTCCAAGTTTAGCTCGCTTTTATCTTTTCTGCTGCATTTGTAATCTTTTATATTTTTGTAAGACGTGGATCTGTATGTCAACAATTGTCGTTTGTGTACCCTGGCTGGTCCTAGATAGGGGTTTAATGCATATTCAGCTTGGAAATTCTAGTTCGTGAATTTATGGGTGTGACAGCCGCCCACCACCCGTCCGCAGCCGCGTGCCAGAGCCCGTCTGCAGCCGCTTGTCCGAGAGAGAGAGGGACTGGGCCACCGGGGAGAGAGAGGGCGCTGAGGAGAGAGAGAGGAACCAGGGGGAGAGAGAGAGGGGGAGGGGGAGATATGACAACTGGGCCCAAGGAGTCCTTTTGCTGACTGGATTAACACGTTAGCGCCACGTGTGCAAGCTTAAATCAAAACCACTCAGAATAGTGTCGAGGGGGGTAAAAGTTTAGGGTGAGCAACGTTTGATTTTTGGGTTCAGGGGGGTATTTCGGTCGACCATGATAGTTCAGGGGAGTAATTCGTACTTTTTCCTGATAAATAATACATAGATGTATTTACTTCATATAGGAAAAATTTTAGTAATTTATTTAATTGATTCTATTCCCTCCATCCACAAAAGTTAGAAAAATTTCACATTTGAGTTTTTTTTCCAAATAAGTTGTTCCTATTTGTAGTCTTTATGCATTCAAGACTTAAATGAGTAGATAAATTAAATGTTTGATTAGAACCCAAGGAGTCATTTAAATACTCATTGGTTGCATGCTTACATTTACTCCTTGATTTTGTAGCATCCAAGATGATTTAATTTTTCTTTGGTCTTGGTGACAAAAGTAATAGGTATAACTTTTGTGGATGGAGGGAGTATGTTTTAATGGGCTAATAAATACATAAGTTATATGCCATAGAGATTAGCGGTGGTTATTTTTAATTATATGTAGGGTGTATATTGTTGAGGATTTGTCAATTTTTTTTTAATTATATGTAGGGTGTATATTGTTGAGGATTTGTCAATTTTTTTTCATTGTTATGTACATGTATTTTTTTTTGTTTGATTTGAATATTGTCACGAGGATGCATTTTTTTATTTTATTTCATGAGATTGCCGACCTAATTTTAGTTATTTGTGTTTATAAAGTGACATACACAGACCTAATCCTATATACTTATAAATCCTATATACTTATATAGTTCATCCCCACTAAGTGTAGTTAATGCTATTTCTCTCTTCTCTCAATAAGCCATATCACCCCAATTATTTCTAGCCTTTGGATGATAGATCTATGGTCCAAATTGTCTCTTCTTTCTTCTCTCTTAAAAACATGCAATCTCAATTATTTTTAGGCTCAAAATTATATCAAATTGTTTTAGTTTTGATAATCAAATTACATCTTATTTATACACATTATGCAACTTAATTTTCCGTAGACGGAACCACATATTGGATCACTCCAGTGCGGCACGAAGCCGCTGACGCTGAGTAGGCTCCTATGCCGCTAGCACGGTGGAGGTTCCGTAGCGCGTCATGAGCACCGGGCAAAGGGACGGTTGAGCGACTCAAGTGAACCGCCCTACCTGACCTTTTTGGGCACAAAGAGCTCCTCCTAATTCACTAATTTGTAGGAAGATAATGGACTTTTGTATTTGAAAAAAGTTTCAGAAGATATGTCTAAAGTAGATGGTGATTGATAGAGCAATTCTTGCTCATAAGTTCCAGTATTAGTACTGTGCCGAACATAAAGCTTGTGGCTGGTAGTAAAACATCGATTTTTCTTTTAAGATAGAGTTCGATCCTCAACTATTTCTCACGATATCTTCTTACGAACACCAAAAGTTGTAGAGCTGGTCGTCTTTCATATCGAGCCATTGAAGCCTTTTCGTGCCATATGTCGCTTAGACTTGACCTTTTCTCCCGCCCCCTAAAATCTTCGGCTCCTCGTTTTTATTCAATTATGAAATTACTCATTTTGGGTCGAAACCGGTGAAATTAAGGGGCATTACTTGAATGCGACTGCAGGAATTTCTTTCCTTAGTAGTTTAGTTAGCACTTTGCCTCTTTGACTCTGAGCAGAGAAGTATTAAGCCGTGGGAAAAATCGAAATGAAATAAATAAAGAATAAAGCAAAAAAAAGTCGAAGATAGAAGAGCCCAGATTTCAAATGAAGAAATAGAAACTCGAAAAAGATCCTTCTGATTCTCAAAGCCCTTGGCTGAAGGCCTGATTGAATAGCAATCTCGTCTGGAACTCCGCGACGGGGTAGTCATCTAGTTTGTATAGTAGTTAGTTGCCGTTCTTCTTTATCGCTTGATAGCATATGGGTTCATTGGGTCTTGGATATTATATGTTACACACAATAATCTCGCCAATATTCTTGACTCAATTATTGGTGGATAGCGGTTTGCCGGTTTATAGGCAGAATTGATATAAGTGTCTGAGTGTGACGTAGAATTGATACATAAGGTAAACCCTATATGGGTCGATTAAACTGGATTTTATACTTTATACTAAGATTAGTTAGATCTAAACTCTAAACATGGGAGAGGAAATGACCGACAAAGAAGCACCCTATTCTTCTTAATTAAGACATATTGATACCATTTTCAAGAACACATCCGATGCCTTCTTTTTATAATGTGTTCACTTTAAATATTAAAAATATAATTATGTCAAAATATTTTTCATGACATATCTAATAAACATTATTTGGACATGTTGATAGTTTAGAACGACGGTAATGTTATTTAGGAACGCTAATTACAATTAAAGTGTTTAGTTTTGCAATATTGTAGGTCGCTAAATATTAAAGATATAATCATGTCAAAATATTTTTCATAACACATTTAATTAAAATTCTTTTGTTTCATAAAAAGATAATATTATTACATTGATATGCCGATATTTTAGAACATAGGTCTTATTTTTGGGAAAGCGCTAATCATAATTAGATTATTTTATTTCGTGATGTTATAGATCTAGTCTAATTATGCATTAGATTATTTTATTTCGTGATGTTTTTTTTCATGTCGTATAATGGGTCAAAATCAATGGTAGATGTTTTCTTCTTTTCTTGGAATTTCATATATTTTCTTTATTTCTTAAAGCACTATGGGGTAGCAGCATTCATTGAAAATTTAATGGACTATTAGTATATACTAATATTTTGTAGAAACGATGATCTATGATTTGTGAAAGTGGTATTTACATTTATGCCACAATACATATTACTCCCTCCGTTTCACAATGTAAAACTTTGTAGCATTGTCCACATTTATATAAATGTTAATAAATCTAGGCACATTTCTACATATGTCTAGATTTTATAAACATTTATATATAAATGTGGGCAATGCTAGAAAATCTTACATTGTGAAACAGAGTGAGTAATTGTTATTATGGGATATTTTTAAGTATACATTTTTTTGGAGGATGGGAGGTTAAAGTTAAAAGGCGAATATTACGCGGTGACAAATATTTGAAACCAGAGAGGTTGGAAGCAGGCTTGTGGCTAGTTGCCTAAAATCTTATCACAGTTTAAATCCTACATTTTGCTTTGGTTAATATTTAATCTAAATACCGACTTTAGAAACTGAACCCTGGTAGGTCACCTGACAACATCGAGATTAATTCCTACTCCAGAATAGTTGTAATGCACAAAGAACATTTTCTGCGTCTAAAAGAAGCAAACCACATTCTTACGAACATAGACAATTTTCAAACAATTATACAACATATGACATACACATATGTGTTCCGTGTTAATAAGTTACGAGGTCCCAAGTAGCTTCTGGATATCATTCTGCATAGGGTACCAAAGGAGTATCAGCTCACAAAGAAGAAAAACAAATAAATACGAATGGCGCTTGATAGAGGGTCAAACCTCAATCTTTAATGGAGAAGTCGTCGGGGCATATCGCTCAACAACCTTGCCATCTTTACCAACGAGAAACTTCGTGAAGTTCCATTTGATGCCATCACCAAGGAATCCACCTTTCTGTGATTTCAAGAACTTGTATAGCGGTGCGGCCTCCTTCCCGTTAACATCAATCTAAGCATTCACAATGCATCAAGTATGTATATTGGAATATAGAAGTATTTGTTTTGACATATATGGAAATATAACAGTATCTGTTCTGAAGTAACTTCAAGTTTTGAGGGAACCAGTTAGTTCACACAACTCAATAATAACTTGATAAGTTACAGTCTTGGTTTGCAATGTAGGGTTATTCTTAAAATCACTTGCCTCTTATATCTTCCGTATGACATAGTGAATTAATTGAATGTTTTACAGAAGAGAGTAATTTATTACATACAAATCTTTTTCACAAAGAAAGCATTCCTGGAAATATGAAATTGATCTAAAAATATTATCTAGAAAGGCATTACAATTGGTCTAGAATTGAGAGGGGGGAAATCCACATTCATCTGTACAGAGCAATGAACATTGAAAACCCATTAATCTAAACAAAGCTATGAACATTAAGTAGACACCTTATTTTTGCACTTAAAATAGTACCAAGTTGTAGGAAAAAAATCAATAACATAGTACAGCAAGAGACTGTTTTACGGAAAGATGGAAGGACTAGGTGAAGCCCACCAACCTTGTCAAAAATAGGAAATTCTGCTTTGAATCTGGTACAAACTGTTTGCTCAATCTCTTCATTGCTGCCAGGCTCTTGACCAGCAAATTGGTTGCACGGAAATGCGAGTATCTCAAGGCCTGAATGCCATTTATAAACAACAGAGTGATAATGAATGTACAAAAGCTACTTTTGAGATAAACTGAATCAGGATTAAACTTCAAAACAGTGGCAATGAGCATACCTTTTTCTTTGTATTTCTCGTACAAGACATTCAACTCCTTGTAATTGGAATTTGTTAAGCCACTACAAAAGAGTAAAGGTGAAGTAATGAAACATAAATGTTCATATAGCCCACACTAGAGGAGAAAACATGACGACATAGCATTTGTCATTACGCAACACTCTGCCTAACACAAATGTATTGGTGAGAAGACCAACAATGGAACAAGTGTGTTGGACTTCAATGACTTTTATGTTCGACAGAATATGCGAGGTCTAAATCCCAATAAACGAGCATATATGTCACAAGCACACATATACCAATCATTGAAAAAGAATTAGTAATTTGACAAGTTCAGCTCAACTTAATGAATTAATTCTTAGATAAACTTCAATTTTCCAATTCATGAGAATCCGAGAGCAATACGTTAGGTCTACCTAAAAACTAAATAAATGAAATCTGATCTGATAAGTACCATTTTGAGGCCACATTAACAATAAGAAGAACCTTCCCCTCATACTCGCTCAGCTTCACATCATTTCCCTTTATATCCTTTGGAAGAACCAAACATCAGCTGACAGGCCGAATCAAAGAAACAGAATACGGAGTAACATAAAGAGTTAAGTAGGAAAGCGTTAATCACTAAGTATGTTCAACTGAAATTTCGCACAGTAATGTTAAACCAATTACTACTAATAACATCGGTAGGATGTGAAAGTCCCTATCAGAACTGACGCCATCTATCCACACTGTGCTATGTTCAGAGAAAAGGTAAACTTCCCATCTAACCTTAATATAGAATAAAGTTCATCTTTACGGTGACAACAACAGAATTAACCTGAAATCCAACGTCCCATCATGGCGACATGATCCAATTCCGCCAAGAATTACAAATATTCCCAACAAAAGGAGCAATCTAGGGTTCCTGGCCAAAGATAAAAACAATCACCCCCCACAACTAAAAGCAACATCTCACTAGACTACATCGCATCGAGCCCCAATCACGGAAAGAACCTCCTCATCCACCCTCTTTCAAGAAACCACGAGACAGTATCAAAAAAGAGAAAAGCGAGACGCCGTAGCATGGCTACCTTGACGGAGATGTCGTGGACGGAGGTGGGCAGGTCGTCGGCCATGCTGGGCGCAGCAGGTGGCGGCGCGCGGAGGGAGAGGAGGGAGACGAGGGCGACGGCGAGCGCGAGGACGGCGAGTGAGGAGGTCCAGATCCGGTTGCCGCCGCCGCTGCTGCTACTTGTAGTTGTAGCCGCCATGGGCGGAGGTCGCAGGGCCGTCGCGATTGCGGAGATGATTAGAGCGAGTGTGAACGCGTGGGGGTGCACGGGCTTCAGTTGGTTGACTGACAAGAGCCACTCAGCTGGGAAGCCGGAACAAAATGTCTTCGTTTTATTGATTTGGAATTTGTAATGAAAGGCGTTGATTTGGAATTTGAAATGAAAGGCCGACGCAGTGACAGCAGCGAGCCGCTGAAGCTTTTTTTTTTTTGGGGTGGGGGTGGGGGGGGGGGGTTATGTGTAGGTCCCTGTAATTCGAGTGAGATTGTCATGGCGCAAAAGCAGATATGGTCCGGTATTCCCTTGTTCCCCGTATTGGTTATGTTCTGGGAGCAATTGGGATGTGGAAATTAGTCATTTTATAAGGTGGATTTATACAAAAGCTTCCTTTTAGTATATCACAAATTAAGTCAAACATAATTAATTGTTCCTACAGGTTAGGCTTGTGGAAATGACGAGTGATAGCATTCAATCAGTAAAGATTCTACGACTTGGGTGTGGAGACAAGTTATAAAGTCCAAAACATTCAATCAGCTTCTATATATTTGCTTTAGTCCATGTTTTTGTCCTTTTTCTTTTCAGAAAAGCTGGAATACTCCCGGTTGAAGAAAAGCAAAACTTTCTGGGCCATTTATATCTTCTCGTACAAAAGTCAAAATCACGTTCCACCTTGAGTCTCTTATGAAACCTCAATTTTATATTTCTTTTAATCATCAGTAACATATCAAATAGATAGCTACGTGTGTGCAAAATTTTATTGTTGGATATATTAGAATCACCTACTAGTAACTGACTAGTCTTCAACTGACCACCGACTAGCGTCTAGGTGAATACTGGTTAGGAATATATTTACGAGTGTATGCATATGATGTGTATACTCTTGTCTTTTCCCATAATCGTGAAATAAATATATTGGCATGTTAAACGGGAATGGATTTAATCCCTCAAAGAGATATCACCTCCTGTGACTTCAATTTAAAATTTTATTTAAGCCTAATTAATCTGTCATTAGCAAATATTTACTATAGCACCACATGGTCAAATCATAGAGCAATTAGATTTAAAAGATTCGTGAACAATTTACACGCAATATGTGTAATTAGTTTTTTATCGTTTATATTTAATACTTCATGCATATGTCCAAACATTCGAAGTCACTTCAAATATATTTTAATCATTTAAATTTTAAAATATATTAGAATATTTTAAAATACCTAATTAATCACTTCAAAGATATTCACCTTGAGTCTCTTATGAAACCTCAATTTTATATTTCTTTTAATCATCAGTAACATATCAAATAGATAGCTACGTGTGTGCAAAATTTTATTGTTGGATATATTAGAATCACCTACTAGTAACTGACTAGTCTTCAACTGACCACCGACTAGCGTCTAGGTGAATACTGGTTAGGAATATATTTACGAGTGTATGCATATGATGTGTATACTCTTGTCTTTTCCCATAATCGTGAAATAAATATATTGGGGGGGGGCAGCGAAGTCACTTCAGCTGTGACCACGTGCCGATAGAGTACCGTCGGTAGTGAAGCATTGGTGCGTTAACCGTGGGACGTCAGGAGTAGGCGGCAGATGTAAAACCTAGCCCAGTATTGCCGGGCCGGCAACAACGACGTTTTAGGAATCGTTTTTCCTCTTGGGGGCGTTGTCGAGCCGCGCCCTCTCTCTTGGGTGGGCTGTAGGGTGAAAACCTTTGTCTTGGTTCTCCTTGAGATGTCGACAGACGGCGGCGTCAGTGCTCATCATCGCTTTTCTCTCAAGAGGAATCGTTTTTCCTTTTGGGGGCGTTGTCGAGCCGCGCCCTCTCTCTTGGGTGGGCTGTCGGGTGAAAACCTTTGTCTTGGTTCTCCTTGATATGTCGACAGACGGCGGCGTCAGTGCTCATCATCACTTTTCTCCCTCGAGATGTTGTCTAGGAGGCCCCCTAACCAAAACCTCATGAACAACTATGTGTGCTCTTGCTAGACGGATGTCCTCTTGTAGCGGCGCCGTAATCAATGCAAGCTGGCCATGTCGACGGGCCTTGCGGGGGAGAGCTGTTCCATCTTCTTTCTCACCCTCTCCCCTCCAACTCCAAAGGCGTGCATAGAGTTGAACGTGATGCTCGCTGCTAGAATTCAGCGTCGCGTGTGGTCATGGTGCCGCTCCACTCATGTTTCATCTCCCTCGCCCAACCACCTCGCATGTGCGCCACTGAACCCTGCTTCCTGGAGGAGAGACAAGCCTCCGCCTCCACCACTATGCACTTCTAGCTGCTTCTGATTTGTCAATCATGTCTGTATGTTGTTATGTCATTCTCCATTCCTCACTAATTTGATTGCTCACACCATATCTCAATATTATAATTAGGTCCTTCACTGCTCGAGATATTAAACAGCAACATCAACCATAACTATATCTAATGACTGCGGATTTCCGAATCGTTCAGAGCTACATACACACATATGTGTGTGTGTGTCTATATATATATATATATATATATATATATATATATATATATATATATATATATATATATATATATATATATATATAAACACACACTCTCTCTCTCTGATGGCCATTTACAGGAGATGTGGAATGATGGAGAAGTGCCGATCTGCTCGTGCTGCCTATATTCCACACAAGAAACCAAATCACTATATGTAATTCCCTATGGCTTTGGTTGCAGGGTTGCGTCTATTTTCTCTCTGTTATTTCTGCCTTCAGCACATTTTCTTCTCTAATATAGGAACCACAGGATGTGATGAAAGCGGCATTTTTACTTCTAGACTGGGAAACATCATTACATACGTATATATCAAAAGTTAAACTAGTATGAATGAAAACAACACTAAAACTTTTTGAACTACAACTATGAATTAAATGTAGTTATGCGTCATAATTTTGGCAAACTATGAATTCTCTAGTTGTATACAAGACTTCCATCGGACGAATGGTTCTATCAGTAACAAATTATTTATTTCAGAGCTACGTCCTTGGTACAGCACATGTGACTTCGGGTTTGGTGCTTATAAATTTGATATTTTTTAGGGTAACATTGTGTTCATACAATAATCGCCATAACTTGCAATGTACTTTCTATACTGCACTCTTCAATAATTGCACAAATTTGTAGAGAACAAATGTAGTGTGGATTGTCATCACATAAGTATGTGCATGGCTGCCTTCTTCAGTCCTTGCTTGCAACAAGTCGGTGCCAGAATTCTCCGAGAGCCCAAATGGGATATAAGTTGCGGTAGTTCGGGTAATTGAAGTAAAGTGAAGAATTGAAGCATCCAACATGTTCCTTCAATCAAAGCCAAATATAAACAAGTAAGATGGATATTAAGCCAAAAATACTTAAAAACTAGTTTATGAGTTTGTGCTAGCTTTGGCAAAAAAAATCAGCACTGGATGAAACTTTTTGCGAAGCTTACATCTGAAAATTGCTTTTTGTTGGAAAGCCATTTATACATTTTCACATGATCATTCAAGTTGCACAAATATATGAGTTGGGAGCATATTTCAATGCTAGTAATCAATTTAATTGTCGGAAAGTTCAATCAAACTTTTTTTTCATATGCATTTTGTCTTTTGTAAACGATTTGTGCCTACTCTACTTTTCTACTTTCTTATCTAGGACTTCGATATACAAAATTTGTTGTACTTCAATTTTGTTATTTTAATGTGTTTTGTGCTCTCCATCTAGAGAAAAAAAATTAGTGGTGAACACTCTGCAACTCCATTCCTTTTCATTCAACGAACAAATATCTGCTAACTAGACAAATTAAATTGTACAATCCATCTTATAAAAGTGCATTCAGAACATTAATATCATCCCAAAACTTACTTGTTGGGGGAACTCTCCTGTTTCAAGTTGCATGCTAATTAATTGTTTTGCAGCACGATATAATGGTGTTGGATCTCGTTCAATCTATTCATAACATTAATGGTTAAAAAATCACATGAATATGAGAAATTGTTGTGCCAAATCAAACGAACAGTTGACAAACAGACCTGTCCAGAGTAAAGTAAAGCTAACATTGCCAAGGAGGTGTTCACTGCATGAGGACTCCCACTATCAACATAGACCTGTTTGAAATCGTTGTTAAAGTAATGGTAGACATAAATATGAACTCAAACTAAGCACATAAATATATATATATAGTAAAATTAACTGGGGCATTAACTATATATAGCAAAACTATTCGACACTACTTCCCACCTCAGTCAACCCGCCTGCTAACTCCGCCAACCACCCATCTTTTCTCAGCTCTAATCTCGCGGAACTATGTAGTAACACGATGGCCATCGTGCAGTAACCTTCTGTTTGATGTGTTGTAACAACACTCAAATATATTTGAAATATAGTCATGACAGATCTACTTCTGATAAACACTTTTTTGCTACCATGATATATCACATGAGACATATTGTTCTTCAAAGCTTAGCTTTTTTGGAATTTGACTCTGCACAGATAGTAATACTATAGCATTACTTATTAGTACTGCTTGCTGTACGTTACTACAATCCCATCACGATGTTAATGTAAAAGTGTTGTAAAGACAATAAGTTTTGTAGTAGCAACGTGTCTTGCTGCAATTTTTGGGTAATGTGACTGTATAAACATGTGGTAACGTGTATCGGCCAAACAGTAACACTTCTACTTTTGTGCAGTAACAAGTATGTTTAGCATGTGAGATTTTTAATCCATACATTTTTGTTTCGGTTCCTAGTTTACTACAATTTCACCACGATGCTACTACCAAAAGTGCAGTAACATCTTATATCTTCTGCAGTAACGTGACGTGTTACTATACTTCTACAATAAGGTTACTATTGGAACATAGTAACATGTGTTATGAGTTTCATAATAACATATCTATTTTGTTCTACGATGGTAGTGAAAGAGATTAGAATCGATCACCATTTTCCTTTCTCACAAAGTGAGATAAAAAAACAATAATCCTGAAAACAAATAGAATCAATTTATGGATTGGTTAGAGGAACATACTATGAACTATGAGATCATGGGTTCGAATCTTGAATTTACCAATTTATTTTTTATTTTCTAGAAAAGAGAAAAATATAAAAAAGGAGAAGGGAGGGGTGCGGGAGGAGAGAGGGTGATCGAGAAAAGAGAAAAAGCAGAAAGAAAAGGGTAAAGAGAAAAAGCATAAAAGAAAAATAAAAGAAAAGGAAAAGGGAGGGCGATCGAGAGAAGAGAAAAACAGAAGAAAAAAAAGAGAAGGGTGATCGAGAAAAGAGAAAAAGCAGAAAAGAAAAGGAGAAGGGAGGGTGATCGAGAAAAGAGAAAAAGCAGAAGAAAAAAAAGAGAGAAGGGAGGGTGATCGAGAAAAGAGAAAAAGCAGAAAAGAAAAGGAGAAGGGAGGGTGATCGAGAAAAGAGAAAAAGCAGAAGAAAAAAAAAGAGAGAAGGGCGAGAAGAAAAGGAGAAGGGAGGGCGATCGAGAAAAGAGAAAAACAGAAGGAAAAATGGAAGGGAGGAGGGGGCACGAGAGTGGAGAGTGATCGAGAAACAGAAAAAGAAAGGAGGGGCGCAGGAGGGAAGGAGAGGGGGGCACCTGTGAGGGGAGATAATGATCTAGTTTTGTACATATAAAAAGGTTGGTGTACTAAATGTATTCCTTTATATAGTAGTACCGACTGCGTTTTTAATTTAAAGTTGGTCATACCACTCTAACCATTAATTTTTATAACTTATGTAGCATACTAACTTATACAACGTTTAGATAGTTAAACTAACTATGTTACAATGTACTAAACATATTCATTTATATAGTAGTACCGACTGTTTTTTTAATTTAAAGTTGGTCATACCACTCTAACCATTAATTTTAATATAACTATTGCAGCATACTAACTTACATAGTGTTTACATAGTTAAACTAACTAGGTTACAACAAAATTAATATTTACCTCAATTTCACTTGAACTGTAGTGCTCACCCCATCCACCTGCACTAAGCTGCTTTGACAATAGGAACTTGCATCCATTCCTGATAGCTTGGCTGTTCTCATAATTTCTGCCAGCAGCAATTAGTCCTCTTATTGCAAAGAATGCCCCATAGGTAAAGCATATACCCCATGTCCCATACCTATTGTTGAAAGATATACAAATATAATACTTAGTAACCATATAATTCAAAGCGTATTTTGACACACACCTAGCATTGAACTTTGCATACCATGAGCCATCATTTTGTTGTTTGTTCTCAATGAACATTACAGCATTCTTAATACAACTTTCAATTTCTACACCACGGTACCCTGGGTATAACTCTGTAAATGATATTAGACCTTGAATTGCTGATGATGTGCACTCGACATGTCTGCATATTGGCCTTATCTTTGTAGTTAGATTCCAAGGTAAAGGCAAATGGAATTATTATAAGATATTTGACACTTACGGATAATCAACGACAATGTTCCGAAAACTCTCTGAAGGGTTCAGAATCTGTGTTATCAATTACATTCATGTTAGTACATACATAGTCATAGTATGCTAAAATCGAAGGACTCTAAGATAATTTTGAAATCAAAATTACTTGAAGTATATACATATGAAGGATGAGCAAGGATAACATGATCATGATATCATAGTCGAGAAACGCATTTGACCAATCCGTGGAATTTATGGTTTGCTGGTTTAACATTGCATTTTGACAACATAATAGGAGTGTTGATAGATGCAGAAACTCCAATAGCTAGTTATGAAGAATACAATCATGGATTTGCAATTAACAGTGGTAACTTGAAGTAACGGTCATTTGAATCTATTTTGCTAGACCTTAAGTTCATGTTTGTCTATCTTATATGTTGGTGCATGTCAATGTCAAGACATTGAAATTTGAAACTATATTTAATGGTCTGAACATCAAAATCCAGTTTTATTCGTTACAACCAAATAGTGTTTGAAATCTGAAACTGCAGAATGAAAGATCCTTTGAAACAACTAGTGTTTGATTGATTACAACCTCTGTAATTTTTTTGTGTTTTTCCTTTCTTTGTAAACAACCCTTTTGATATATAAAAGTTACACGGCTAGGCAAATTCCAAGAAGTAATTCACCTAAAAAAGAGTCTAGTTTCATACATAGATATTTGTCTCTTACATAAGTTTGCACAATATGATATTTAAAATTACAGTAGTTAAGCTAGTACGATGAGCCTGTACTTATTGTGTATTTGACAAGTAATACCTTGGTCCATTAGTGGAAACGATGCCCATTTTATTGTATATGTTAATTGAATTAGTCCCATATTGAGAGTTAGGTATGTTGGACAACATATAAACACAAGCATTCCAAACATAATACCCCTGGGTTAATCATTTTTCACACCAAGAGATCAATGATGAAAGTGTAAGTGGACTTTTATACATATGTTGGTGCTGGGGTGTTAGCGGTAGTGGAGCTAGAAAGATTTTTATATATTGTCAATTTGCTTATCAATACTAAAATTTAATGGAGTTCTCGCAGCAGAGCCCCGCGCGAGGGGGTGGGGGGGCTGGGTGTTAGTGTGTTACGCATATTGTGATTGTTAATGACGTAAAGACACATTTTGCTTTCCTAATGTTATAAAATGTTTTTTGGTGCATCATTTGCTTTCATGTGTGTTGAGTATTCTTCATTTTTATCTCACGGAAACAATGGAATGTTAATTTATAATAATTTAGGCAATTGTTCAAAATGTAAGCCAAAGATGTGCACCTCTGTCCACGAAGCTGTTCTTGTGCATTCATACGAGGAGAAGGTACCATCTTTGTTCTTTGTGAAACACAAAGAAAAGAAATTATTCAAAAGAGCATGAAAACATCAGTCAAAAAGAAACATTATATTGCTAAGATAATAACTTCACGTGAAATTAACAAAATTTAACATCATATTTACACAACTGTTATTTTGTTTGAGAAAGATAACAAATAACGAAATATATTGACAACTTCAACAACTACTACTTTTGAAGAAGTAATTACCTATCCTTTTTTATTTTATCTTGATTGAATTGTTCTAATTTCTGGTTCTTCTCGAATAGTAAGGATACATCATTGAACTGGCAACATATATTATAATGTGCACTTAATAAAGTTATAATAGAGGATCACTATCGGTGATGTACTATAATTTATTACATGGGAACAATGATTATTATTCAATATATATGTTCAATAATTTTATATTGGTCCATCAATCTCTCCTACAAGCTAGAATCTTGGTATGACTTAAACATAATTGAGCTGTTCAATATCATCGAATCTTCTTATGTTCTTTTTTACTTTATTTCATTTATGCTTTCTCTCAAGGAATTACAATACTTAGTATTAGTGCTCTAGCTATTACTACAGCGTTACCTTTTTCATGATTTTTCCACTATCAAAAAATACTTTGTCACTGAGAGGCCTATACTCAAGAAGAGCTATCTGTTCAGAATTAATGAACACAGTTCGTTGTGCATCAACAAATTCTCATTGAAATTTAGATAAGAGAACACATACATTAGCTAATACTATCACACACGTAAGCTGTAAATTTCTTTTATTGTCTTAAGTCTCTTTTAATTATAGATGACCACAATATTAATAAACTGAAAAACCACATTTCATTTAACATGAATAAAACAGGAAGAATACTCCAATTGTATAGTCATACCGAAAAAGACAGCAGGCAGTCCACCGCGTCATACAAACTTTTTTCTTTTATTGGATCACCAACAAGTTTAGGAGAAATCTTTGACAGCCCTAGTAATGCCTATAATAGGATATAATATAAAATGTCAAGAACAGACAAAATAATAATTAATTAATGATTATTAGGAAACTATTTGAACAACGGATTGCGCTTTGGCAATAAATTTTCTTCAACGTAACTGATGGCGTATCGATATTCCAAGATCATGGCATATAATGCTCTTAAAATGAAACTCGACCCATGGGAGAGAGAGATCTTCAAGGCATTTCGTTGATGGTTGAGTAAAAGCTCCAAAAGCCTACACCTATCTATATGGGAACACTGTTGTGGTAGGCAGAGTCTTAATGCGTACTTTAGGGGAACACACAATGAGGATTCGTTTTTCTTTAAGAACCAGAGTTTGAGGCTGATAACTGGAGGACTTACAACCACGCTAAACACGTTCTCCTCATAATGCTATTTTTTTATGCTTAGATGTTGGACTAAATATTTCTTGCTTCTAATATTATAAGCAACTGATTGACATGTTAGAACTAGAAATTGTACGAACAGAAGATATTTTAGTTAAAATCTCTCCAAGAAGGCCAAAAATTGAAGTAAAAGAGATAATTTAACTGTTTTCACCACTAAGAACCATATCCTTTTATAGAGTCAGAATAAGGAGGATGATAACAAACTTGTATGACCTGAAGTGTTTCTCCTGTACAATCAGGAACTGACCAACCATTGTCTGCTGTAGAAAGAGTCCATGAACCTTTTGATCTATGGCGATAGAAACTTTTGCCATTAGGGAGGTCATGAAGAACCTTCAAGTAAGAAAACAATTTTGAGATTTGTTTCTGAAAGTGTTCATAACTTTCCAGTTGCAAAAAGTTCAAGAATAATGAACCTGCGAATTTTTCAGGAAACCATAGGCTTTCTCAAGAGTTGTACTGAACTCATCTACTAAGCCCGTAGAGCAAATGGCTTGAACTATAAATGCTGTCTCCCATGTCTGACAGCCATCATATACCTACGTACAATCAACACAATAACAAGATATGTCTGTCATTACACAATGCTTGATCCTCTTTTGTCTTGAAAATTAACTTTTGTACATACTCATGCATGCAGTTGCTACCAAGGAGCAATATAAACTTTGTCAAAATGAGATTCACTATACAAAACGCCACAGCATACATGTATGTCGATATCATACTAGAAAATTGACGTGCCCGTTGGGTTTAAAATACATGATGAACAAAACAATAAGTGCATAGTAGATCTATTGGTTTATAACAAAAACATACTATATAAGAATACATAAAGATTTTTACATGAATACATTCAATTCCTCTGAAATATTTACAAAAACCATACATTCCGCAGAACTCTTCAATGTTTGTTTTTTTTTTTTTTACTTTTGTGTATGTAAAATGGTTGCACCGAGTAGTACTATATGCTTGCTAGCGTTTATCGGGTTAATAAGTAAATGGTTTTTTAATGAAATTTGCACATTTTGTATTTGAGCACTTGAAATCTTTTTTTTTTTTGAAAATGCACATTGTTTTTCTTTTCAGGGAGAAATACATATACCAATATAAATTCATTTTAGGATTGCGTTTTGTAAGAACACCTAATAACAATGAACAACACTCGCGAGAGCGAATTGTAAGGCATATATATGCTAACCTTTACCATATGCTCAAGATATAGTACTGTGAATTTTGATGTATTATCTAATTAAAAATTACATTTGTATGTGCTATGAATTACTTATATACATTTAAATTCACTACTTAATCTTAAAATTATTTTTAGTTTATTTTTATTATTTTTGGGCACTTTTTTGACAAAACATATGAAGTTAAATACTACTTAAATATGTTTAACTATTTGCCACCCATACATTAATGACATATGGGCCCTCACGTGTCTATGACATGTGGGTCTAGTGGCAACAATTGATTACAACATCTAAAAGTGAAAAAAAAGTAAGAAGATGTAAGGCTGTGTTTAGATCCAGGGGTGTAAAGTTTTAGCGTGTCACATCGGATATACGGACACATATTTGAAGTATTAAACATAGATTAATAATAAAACAAATTACAGAATCCGCCTGTAAACTGCAAGACAAATTTATGAAGCCTAATTAATCTGTCATTAGAAAATGTTTACTGTAGCACCAAATTGTCAGATCATGGAGCAATTAGGCTTAAAAGATTTGTCTAGCAATTTACACACAATCTATGTAATTAGTTATTTTTTCGTTTATATTTAATACTCCATGCATGAGTCCAAACAGTCGATGTGACTAGGTGAAAAAATGGAGTGAACTTATTTTGGGACAAATGGAGTGAAAAAATGATTTTATTCCGGGAGGGGGTAGTACTCACTATTTTTAAGAGGCCCTGTCAAATATAGCATTTTCAATGAAATCTAATATAAATTAAATAAAATTGGTTAAAACCTATAATGAGAAATAGGCTAATTAGCTGGTGTGCGCCTATTTCTAGTCGAATTTGCTATATATTTGTCGACAAATTTTCCACCAAAAATTTGACAGATGTAATTATAGTACAATCGTAGTGTCATTACACTGTAACTTGCATGTAATTACACTGTAACTATAATGTAACATGTATGTAACTTTCAAAAATCTCTCCATAACATTTATTTCGGTAAAATGGAGGTTGTGAGAACAAATTCTTTCACATATGTGTGTGATGTGGTTGTTTTTCTTCCTCACCAGAACAAATTTTGTAATAGATCTAACGATTCAAAATTACGTGAAACTTATATACAAGTTACACTGTAGTTATATGCAAGTTACAGTGTAATTACACTACGATTGTACTATAATTATATCTGTCAAATTTTCGGTGGAAAATTTGTCGACGAATGTATAGGTGGTCCCATTTCTAGTCTATTCTCACTACTCTGTTTTCTTTCATCCCACATGGGCCTGGCTAGCCCGTTCAATTAAATATGGTGCCTGGCCCATGATGTTGCCGAGTCATGCAAGCAACCGTGTGTATGCGTGAAGCTCGTTCAGGGCTTCGTCGAAGCTTCGTCGAATCAGCGTGTGTGTACACGAGTCAAAAAAGGATTGAGCACCTGGACCAATTTGCAGCTGGCAGAACAGGCAACGTGAAAATAATAGATAGATGGGCTTGTATGCAGATCGAATGTTCAGAGAATCATGGTCATAAATGTCAGATGCAAAGGATTTGTTTATGTGACTAGATTCTTAATCCTAAACAAAACATAACAACATGAGAAAATGATGTAGTATGTTGAGGACCATATTTTAAATGCTGTGAAAGGTGAAAGTATTATCATAGCATACTGTACTTTTAAGTGTCATCTATGCTATTTACACCGAAGCTAACTTAATATGGTTCAAACATTGATATTAATTGAAATAGAAGCCAACAGGGGGCACCCAAGTAGCCTAGCGATTACAGTACTCAAGGAACATCTCTAGATCCTTGGTTCTACTCCCCACAGGAGCGAATTTTAGGCCTAGTTAAAAAAAGTCATTCGCTAGCTCCTCATAAATGCACGTGTTAGGAAATGATATATGGAGAGCGAGCTCTCGTGTAGAGGACAGGAACCTCAAAGCAAGCGTTAAGGACCAATCCATAAGAGGTGACTCCTCTCGTGGGTTTTCTCGGCTGGTTTGGTTGAGGCTTCTTCTTCGTGAAAAACCGTGAGGGTGGTTATTCTCCTACTGGTCGAGTTTTTTTTTAATAGGGGCACCCAAAATTTTTAAATTTTGTTTCAATAATATAAACTCTACAAGCTACATGACTGCAAGATAATTTGATTTTCTATAAAAAGTGCTCATTCTGAAATTTCATACAGGTAATAATTTCATACAGCTCATCTAGGATCGTGATGTTGACAACCTGTGCGACTAGCCAGAAATGATAAAGCAATGCCAGCATGCAGCAATGCAGCATATTTCTTAAGGTTACAAAAACTTTAGCTGCAACCATTTTCTGACATTGATATCTGCTAGAGATTGATTTATAACAGTGGTTTATTGACATCTACAGTTTAACTTTTATCTTCACTCATATAATTCAAAGAAATATAGATCTGACATTACTCACTTCTTCCAGGACATGTTGGCTTGCCCACGCAAAAATAGGAAGCGAGTTAATACCAATTAGGAGCTGTTTGGTTGCGTCGTTTTGGCCCGTATCAGTTCCCACCATGAATAGATCATGTTACACTCGTTTGTTACAGATGGACCGTAATCGGATAGCCCGCAAATGAATTCCGGCCCAATACAAATCTGATTACGCTCCAAGACGGGCGGAATGCGATATCGATACGGAGAGGAGAGCGCGACCTAGCTCCTCCAAATCGAGCACCGCTGCCACTACTCCCTCGCAGCGCACGCGTTGCCGGCGCCGCCCCCTCTCCCCACAGACTCTGCTGCTCCCTCGTCTTGTGCGCTCCTCCAACCACCGCTTGGCCAGGCTGGCGCATCGATGCTCCCCACCTCCAGGAGTTCCGCCTCCAGAGTCCCTCCTCCCCCGTCCAACGTGCACTGCCACCTCCCCAGAGTTCCACCTCCTTGGCGATTGGATATTGACGGGAAGAACTCCATGGAGACTGGATCTTGACGGGAAGGGCGAGGACGTGCAGCAGGAGGCTAGTCGGAGATTCTGCTGCTATCAACTACATCCGTCTTTTGTCGTTGCCGCCGTGGAATGAACACCTTGCCGGTGAGAACCCTCCCCCTACTGAAACCACCTTTTTTTATGATGATATACTTGTGATGCTGGTGAGTGGTGATCTTGTGATAGTCTTCTAAAAAATCATGTAGTAGTTTATACTAGTGAATCACATGTGTTCCTGCCTCATATATGTTTGCTTCATAAGTTCTGATGGGTTATGTAGAATATATTTTCCTCAATTGCAAGAAAGTTGAACATCAGTACATGGTTTTTTTTTTAGTGTAGGGAAGTTGGACCAACTCATATTACTATCTAGATTTTGAGAATTTTGATTTTCATTACTGCCAGGTGATATATTATTTTGCACAATATCAGATCGGGGAAAAAAGTTTTGCATATTGCCTGTTTGACAGAATATGTTCCAGTAAAACAGCACATACATGTAAATATGCTCCTTGAATGGATGCTTGATATGGTGTTCTGGTGAATTACTTATGTTTAGCAACAAAAATAATTTGCACCGTCTTTTGTTTGAATGGTAGCTTGATGTATTATGTGTGCTAGCAGGATATATTCTGAACATAGGGTTAATGCTTTTGTTTTATATATTTGTAGAGTGCTATGGCTCGCCTTCCCTTAAGTACCAAAACGCGGAGAAGAAATTTAGGGCTTAGAAATATGATGATTGCTGTTATACTTATGTATTATTATGTTGCTGTACTGTTCTTGATTTCATATAAGAGAAAATGTTGGAAAATAGAGAGGAGGATCAGAATTAGAGAACTTAGGAGTGAAAGACCATTCCAGCTTATTCGTGAGAGTGATATTGCTTGTATAAGCGAGCTCCGAATGGATAGGAGGACATTTCACATTCTATGTGACATGCTTAGAGACGTTGGAGGTATTGAGGATACAAGAAATATGTCGTTGGAGGTATCAGTAGCTTCATTCTTATATATACTATCTCACCATTTAACGAATAGAACAATAGGGACCTTTTATTGCCTTATATACTATTTGTCTGAAACCATGCACCAGTATAATGCATGTATGGGTCCAGCTGTCCAGCTCAATGCCATAGGAATTAACCTACGGGAGCATAAGTAGTAATATCATATTCACTCCAAACTACTCCTAGCTGGAGTATGTGCCTACGCCTTTCTTGCTTGCTTGCACCTATAAAAAAGGGGTTCATGAAAACAGAGCTTTTCTACAAATTCCTTGTGCAGCCCCTTTCCTAAAGGGCTATGGTTTTTTAGTCCAGAGATTAAAAAATGCTACCTTTTTCTTAATTTGGTATGATGCTGAGCATTATATATTCTTTCTTGTAATGTTTCTTTCACTAATTTCTGAATTTTTTTTGTTACCAAATGAGGCAAAGAAAAACTGATGTGCTGGATGTTAGGCATTTGATCTACAAGATGTTCACTATCTATGTTTGAAACCCAGAATTCCATATATGCACAAGTCTTGGGGATTGGAGACCATATATTTTCACTATATATTTCCTATGTGCTAAAGATGTTTATTTCCAATACTTCAGCTTTTATTTGCTTGAACCATGATGATGTACATATTCTGTGATCAAAGTGCTACCCTATTCAACGTCCTAGACCTTTTGTTTGGTTGTGGAAGACAAAATGTGTAATGAAAATCAAAGTCTTTGCCTGGTTACCATTCACTGACAGATTAAATACTAGAGATAAGCTAGACAGAAGACACTGTGCAAAAGAGGATGATGATTTATCTTGCGTTCTATGTAATGGAGGCCACAGAGAAACCAGGTTACACCTTTTCTTCACTTGCCCTTTCAGCATTGAATGTTGGCAGCATTTCTTGGGATTTCGTGGGATGCTACACTGGAGTTTTTCTAAATGATAGTGCTTGCAAGGGTTAACTTTGGTAGGAAGGGTTTCTTGGAAATCTGCTTCATTGCTCTGTGGCATATCTGGAAAAAAGGAATGGGCTGATTTTTCAAAATGTTCCACCATCTTTTCAGTCCTGGAGAAGCCTATTCAAGAATGAGATTCTTCTGCATATGTGCAAAATGAAGGACCCTATGAAACAAATAGTTTTTGATTGGTTACAAACTGTATAATTTTACTTGTCTTTGTTTCCTCTCCCTGTAAATTTGTACTTATATTCTAAATAAATGAAAAACACTACTAGGCAAAGCCCTGGTAGTACTTCCAGTAAAAAAAAGTGTTGTCCTATTTTTGAGACAAAAGTACTACCCTAGCTTATTTGTTAACTAATCTGGTAGTTTCACTAATGTCAATTGTTCATCCAATCCTTTATTGATTGAATTTTGAAGGTGTGCCATTGATTATATTTTGCAAAATATTATCTCTCGTCTTGAATTCTTGCTGTCAAAATTTGCATCCAAATAGAAGTCTCCATATTAAGTATTTTCCCGTTGTGTATCAATTTTAGAATTTGAATTCTCAGCCGACACATGTTTTGCTTGCACCTGCTAGTCTGTTACCTAGCTGCCTAACCAAACAGCGGGAATGAATTGGTATCCGTTACAACAACTATCCAAACAAAGCACGTAATCGGTGTAATCGGTTACCGGCAGAAGCATTCCCAATTACGTTTACGTTAACGTGATTGAACCTAACTCCACCTTAATGTCATAGAGGTAGAGCAATGATAACTATGGGTGGTCGACATTACGTTCTCTAGTGTAGCAAACTTAGAATTTAAGGGTGGTTATTGGTAATGAGTAAAATGATTACGATGGTTGGAACAACATTGCAAGGGCCACGGAGCTTGGAACTCCATGGCGCAGATGTGGCATGCATGGCAATGGCAGTGATATTTTCTGTTCTGAGGATTTTGATCAATATGTGTGGGGGAGGTGGCTGCGGTGATGTCAGGTATGGTGGCAAGGATGACAGGAGTAATGATAAAATACAGTCCAGAGAAGATGGGAGGCACTGGGGAAAATAATCCTGCTAATGTGGACAACATGGACATAATCCTACTGATAACATGGACATAATGACATTGTTGGCTTGCAGAAAAGTATGTGGGTGAAAGCAGATGGGTTACGAAGGTCAGTGGTGTTGAATTCCATTTAGCCAGTATGCGCTGATGAACATTGCTTCTTGATGTCTTCGGTACTGGCTGCCAATCTGCGTGATAGATGTCGTCACCAGGTTCGGTTTCTTGTTCCTGATTCTCATTTACTCTCATGATTATCTAAGAATATAACTACCATCAGCAAAATCTAGTTATTGGGTAGGACATTTAGTTGAATTCACTTGAGGATCAGTCTGATTTTTTGTTTAAACAATCTCAACATGGTTGTTAGACTGAGTTGTTTTAATTTCTTGGTTTCACTCCAAATGCAGAGTCTTTTAGTTTCTTCCAATTAAGGTGATTTAAATTTCAGGTTATGATTAGTCCTAAAATCGAATTCAAGAACTTTGAATTAATTATAATCCAAAACTCAGCCAAGCAGGAAACATGTGATTGTTTCAGCTATTCAATGAAAGTTCAGCAAGGAAATACTAGCTTTCCATGCATGCAATGTTTAATTTCCACCAGAGCAGTATATATATGTATTACGAAGTCCACTAAAAAGAAGTATATATGAAAAACATAAAATGAGCAATGCATACACCCAACTAAGAACAAGTGGTCATCACTTAGTCTTTCCAAGGAAAAAATATATTCATGTGATGACCAATTATGATTAAGTGAAAGCAAGCAAGATTTGGTTGTTAGCGACATGTGCAAAAAATGTGATATTACCTCATTCATGATCTGAAATGGAGCTGACCAGGACAAAAATGTGATTTTATATTGATTTAGGCATGACCAATTTACAGATAAAGAATGATTTAAAATTTGTTGAGTACTTACATAAGTTTCGGGATACGTGCAAAATTCTCAAAGTTCAGGGAGTAAGTAACAGCCCCATGGAAATTTAGTGAGACATAAATTAAATAAATAAAAGTTCAATTAGAACAGTTTTACAACAGATGCAAGCAGCCAAAATAGTACCTGAGCCTTCATGCCATCTTCAGCAAGCCATAGAAAGTCATAAATCCTTGGAAGATGCCTCTTGAATGCATCTGAATTTGGGTCTTCTATCCAACAGCAAATCATATTTAATGCCTAATATTAAAGCAAATCGGTCAAAGCATAGTGCTGAATTGTGAATTAATAATGCTAAATCAACAAAGTTAGTAAAGGATGATAATTAATTTATTAGAGCTAGAAACTTTCTAGGTTCTACTACATTCAACAAGTTTTGCGGAGTATTTTAAACTTGTTATAATCATCATGCTTCTGTTATTCTTGCCTATTTATTGTGTAAATGTCCAATATTTCACTACTCTCCACACGTTGTAATGATTATCAGATTATTTATAATATTTGTCCAATGAGAAAGTCTAAGATTGTAGTCACGGTTGCTTTTCCGTCTTCTATGCCTATATATTATTATATTACGGTACAAATGCATGAAAGGTATTGTGTGGGTTCAATACGTCATTTATTAGGTCATCAACCTTGGTCCAATTTTTCCAGCCGTTGCTATATGTCTATATTTTGGGCCCTCTTGTCAAGTAGGATGGTTTATGTTTTAAAAGTTTGATAGAATCTATTCATAAAAGTCAACTACTATCTGCTCTGTTTTTACTTGTCATTTTAGATAGTGACATAGTCTTCGTTGCATATGTTTCATCACTACTTTTTCTATATAAAAGCTATTAAATTATAACTATTTGAAAGTGTTTTTCATGAAAAATATATGTATGATTGGAGGGTCTAGTTGTAGATGCAAGATTTCAGAAACATCATTATATTACAGGCAGTAACTTCCCCGAGGAAATATGTATCAACTCAACAACTAAAACCAAATGTTGTGAAACAAACTGAAAATTTACTCACAAGAATGCAGCTGGAAAGTTCACCATATGCTTTTTAGTCGCACATGCTAACATGTGGGCCCCAGCTCTGTAAATTCTCATTTCATTCCAGAACCCTACCCCCCTCCCCCTCCCTCCTAATCAAACAGAGTCTACTATAATACTTCCTGTATTAATTTTAGATTCTAGAAGAATCAGTAGAAGAAATGTATGAAATTTACTTTTAAACTGTCGATTAAATGGACTATCGGGATGTGTCGAGGTCATCGAGTTGTGCGAGGTTTTCATTTGGTTTCCTTGAGATGCATCATGGTAGTATATGTTATTTTTAGTTGTTGTTAATTTGTTATAATTTCTTATTGGGGATGCTCATAAAAATTTGACCATAGGGTGATTTTGTTAGAATTTCTATTGAATCTCATTGAATCTCAGACTCGGTATTTTTATATGTGGGTGTGTAGCTTTCGAGGTCTAAGGATAGATGTTATATCAGAACCTATAGTAGGCCACCGCACTTGTGAGCCAAGTGACTACATAATCGAAACATAGAGAGTAATACCAAAACACTTCCTTTGAAGAGAGAAAAATAGTTCTGATCAAATTACCTTGTTTATTGGGCACAAACCAATGTATTTGGTATTTTCATCCTCGTAGTAGATATGTTTCATAAGGTTGCGCAGCGATATCTCCCTCAGCTTATTAAATGGCCAGACATTAAACATTGGATCCACATACTTGTTTAAATATGTCCACACAATATCTTGTATCCATGAACAAGGATATCGAAGATCTTCCTGTACCAACAAAAGAAACATGTTAATTTCCTGGTTATTTAATATTTCTTTATGTAATATAGAAAATGTTTGGTGTTTTCTTAGGTCAAAAAAGTTGTATATAATTTTGTTTTTGACCGTTCTGATACTATGTCACCGGCTCACTGCACTATTTATGCCAGAGAAAGCATAAATAAATGAAACCACTTCATAATTTGCTAGGTAACATCACAACGTAAATATACCACCTCAAGAAAATTGGGTTAGGAAATGCCATGATATAGAAATTTGACTTGCAAGTTAAATACAAAATGACCTCTGTGCTCTCCTCTTATGCTTCTCTTTATTTCTGTTTTATCATGGTGGCCGTATGGCCTACCTGTAATCATCAGTTCGTCCTCCTCTACTGCTTTGTCTTCTCCAATGTCAAGCCATGAAGATCCTTAGCTGATCTCCCCCATCACTAACTAACCTTCTAAGTTCCAAGCACTACATGTTCCAACATCCTCCTCAATGTACTCTTCCATTCCCCCCAATCCCCCACCTTCACCGATCCAATCAACACATCGTTTTTTGGGCTATAGCAAGTGTTCAATGGCAACTCCAGCAATATCATCAAAGCAGAAAACCCTACAAAGATTGTGGCTATGCATATTCAAACAAAAGAGGTTTCTTTTGTATTTCTTCTGTTCATCTGTAGTGCCGGAACCACAGAGTCGTGCTATCGGTTCTCATCTACTCTTCCTTGCCTCCAGACTTCACTGACCAGATTTGCGGACGCCAATCTTGAGATATCAAATGGCTCGCTTAGAGCTGGCAAACCGCACTGTTTTGCAACTGTATTCATAAGATGCCTTATTTGGAACATTGTTTTTAACTTGCGAACATTTTCTTTTGATACCAGGCAAATTTGCTGTTCAACTGGAATAGAAATATGTGGCAAGTATATAGTACAGTAGTATTGCTAATTAAATGAATTAAATCTCAATCTTCAGTGAAAAAATTCTCTACTCAACCAAAATTCTTTATAATGTACTCATTCAACTATGAAGGAAGTAACAAACCTTGGCACAGCAATCTCTAGCCTTCTTCCAGTCAATCTCACTGTATGGTATGTTGTACAACTCCTCTCTTATTTCCAATATAGTTGGAGTGATTGGGCCGACAAACTTTTTCCCATAAAGATATGCCATGGACATGTAAATCATACGGACAAAGCACCAAAATCTTGCTGTGGAAAAAGAAGGCTCGCTTCTTAGGATCAAATTAAAAACGAGAACTTTATTACTCCCTCTGTATATGAGTCATATTGCAGGCTCTTATACCAGGGAAAACTTGTTTTTTAACTAAAATATCAATAACTAATTTAGTACTACTTCTTGTTGCACGCATTTAAAACCTACAAAAGTAGAGATACTAAGCGCAAAAAACATTTCAAAAGGTGAAAAATATGTGTGCTTTACATTCTTTTACAAACACTTGAATAAATATGGCTTACATTTTTTTTATATGGAGGGAATATTGATCTAATGCTATTCTATTTTTTTTGACATCAAGCAAAACCACTCGGCGGAAACGAAAAAGCAGGACCCTTGGGCAGAAGCCTTAGCCACTCGAGTGCGCTGACGCTCCCTACCTCCTCTACCTTGCCGCCGCTTGAGTGCGCCGCCGGAAAACAGCACGGGTGCAAAGATGGCGGCGTGGGGTGATAGAGGCGATGGTGCCAGCTGCGTTGTTCTCCTGATCCAATAATCGACTTATCAGATTCGATGTCTCCAGGGACTAGCTCCGGAAGGATGGGTATCTGCGAAGGTTGATGGCAGCTCTGTGGTTGCGGCCGAGTGAAAGAAGGATCGTGGCCCGGTGATCAAGGTGCAGCCAAGGAACTGGTGGTGGCGGGGATGTCTGGGTTTAGAGCAGATCCGGTTCCTTGACGTGCAGGTGCAGTGGTGTCACAGTGAGGCTATGCTACTCATATGTCGTCCCTGCAGCACTGGTGATCGCCACCATCATCCCTCATGCTGCAGCATGCCATGTGGAGCCTTACTAAGGGGAGGTTCGCTCGTGGCAACAACGGTGGCTGGGGTGGCTGACCATTACAGGACCTTGCTGGACCGTTGTCTCAGGCGGTGAGTATGGCGGTATGTCCATCCTTATTCGTTGCAATAGAAGGGAGTAGCAGCTTTGAGTTATGCTGGCATCGAGGCTCGGTGAGCTGGCCGCTGGCCGGTGACAGTCGACGCCTCATTGGTGTGCCTTATCGGCAGAGCGGTTTTCTTTTCTAGAATTTGTCGACAGCCACCTTCTTCCCACCCCTCGAATAATGATTGTCTCTCCAGCAGCTACTTCTCGCAACGATGTTTTCTTCATCATAAGACAGGGACATCTAGATCTGCTTGTAGACCAATGTAAGCTTGGCTTCAATTCAAGGTACCGGTTACATCAACATCTCTTTCATCTCTAGATCGACCCTATGGATTTTGGGTGTGTGACTTTTGGCTTTTCACAACTTTATCTTTGTATGGTATCGTGTCTACAGAAGGTTGCAGGAAGTGATGTTCGTGGCTGATTGCAATTGTGCTAAGTTTGGAAGGTATGGTGGCACTGTCTTGGAATGAGGGGAGCAACAACACTAGGGGCCTCGTTTAGGTGGTGCTTGTTGCTAATTGGGTTGAATCCCTAGGTCTGGCCTTAGCTGGTTGTATCTGGCAATGGTGGTTTTGCATCCTTCTTGATGACATTATCTAGAGTTCATAGAGTTTTCATAGGCGAAAACCTAAAGTCTGGTCTTACTTGTTTAGAGCATAACAATGGCAGCACGTGCACGCGTCGTCCTCTTTTTGGAGGCATTGTTTTATGGGAGCCTTTGTGGTCGTCCAAGTGTTTCTTTGGTAGAGTACGGAGATGAAGTTTACTTGTAGTTGTAGACTTATGCATCACAATTTTTGTAGTTGTGTCGCCCTTTTTCTTTTCTTTTGTAATAATGATAGGCTATCCTAGCTTTGCAGAGGCCGAGGGTGGTGTTAGAATTACTGTATCCTCCTGACGTAATACCTAAGATCATGTGAAGGTAAATGCTATTATTAGACCATCCACCATCATTTAAAAAACATTCATCTTAATTTTTGCCAGTAAAATCAAAATAAAAGGAAATAAAAGAATTGTGAGAAATTCAATTGGAACTTTAGATTAATGCAAGAAGCTAATGAATTATGTACCTGGATGTATTGGAAGAAAATGCGGCACCATCCATAATTCAGGAATTATTGCTTTGTTTCCTGACCAATCGTATACACCAATGACCTTTGATTACATTGAAGATTAGCTTGTATTACTAGGCCCGTATATTTGTTCATAGATCTTAAAAATGTTTATTTGGTCATTCTGAATATTTCAATTAAGTAGTAAATATATGTTTTTAAGCATATGCTGGAAATTTAAAATAGGGTGATCATTCACTAATTGGAACCAAGGTAACAATTTTGATTCACCTCTATCAAAGACAGCTAAAAATAATATTTTTTACATTATTTCATTGCATACCGAGAGCCATATCTTTGCCCATTGAGGTGCCGCCGTTGCGCTTCCATGAGATAAAATCCACATACGCCCTTGGGCTAATGCATCGTTATTATGTAGGGCCTCACCAAGGAGCTTTAATGTAGCATAGTTCAAGCATGAGCCAAACATGGTACTCTGGCCAAGAACCTGTGTCCCCCAGCCGCCATCTTCATTCTATAAACATGTATTATACATATAAACAAAATTCAATTTACATATTTAATTTAAAATTCTATTTTTATTGAAATTAAATTGTTATCAAATAATAACATGCCTGATGATTGTAAATGTATCGACATATCTCTCGTTTATGTTCCAATGACAAGACGACATCGAGCGTTCCCGTAACATGCATGGAGAATATCTGAAAAATTACATCAATTCACAGGATGTATGAATAACATTTTGAGGATTATAAATAGGACTTAGGTGCCATCCTTATTCAAAATCCAACAATGTTCTTCATGGATTCCAAAGAAAGCAGCCACCTATTCAAACCCAGGTCAATTTCTTTGTCCAGGGGTGTTCTAGTTGTCCTTCTTATTTCTATCTCTGAAACAGCTGAAAATAATGAAATATTGCAAATATTGCAGATAGTGTTCTGTGGCAAAGAATCAATTTTTTTATCCACGGGCAAACCTACTTTTTAGAAGTCCTCCAGCAAATACCACATTTTAGAGTGTTGTGTAGCAATTTTTCCTTCAACGACAGATCAATATATACCTTTATTTTCAACTAAGAAGCTAGCCCACGTATTCGCGCGGGCATGTGTTATGGGTTGCGTTTAAAAAACTTACATAGACAAAATATCAATTGGATGACACCTTCAATGTTTTATAAGAACTATTTCTCCAAATGTTTCTTCATCAACATTGCTTAAATAACTTTTCCAAATTATTTGATAGCTTTTAAAATATATAATATTTAATAAATCCCTATAAAATAATTATCTATGATCTCTTCATTGTGGAGTTAGATTTAGTTTGTTTAAAAAACGTGTCTAACAAATTATGTATATATTAAAAGGTGTTTTGTCTTGTTTAATTAAATGTTTAATGGTTTCTTTAAACAAATCCTAAAGAACTATGAAATAGTATGTTTTATTTGTACCATGAAGTTAGCCCTCCGTTTAGTTGGTTTAGATTGTTGCAAGTTGTTACATATAAATTAACAAAGACATATCGTACACCTCGCTTCCTTTTTATATACATGATTTATACTACTTTTTAACAAGAAAGTACCTAGTTAAAATGAATCCAATTAAAAAATGCTTTTTAATAGTGACAAATATAACTTTTCAACCAACTACATACTACTATTACTGGGGTTTATATATGCAATAATATGTGGTAAAACTTATAATGCTATGGTATATGACGGATGTAAGTCCATTAATATCTAACCATTTAAAAACTGTTATAAAAATAGAACATGTAATGGTTGGTCCAATTTTAGTGAAAAGTAAGAACCAATTTATTTTCAAACTCATTACATTTTTTTTCCAAATAGTTCAATTTAGTTCCGATTGAAATTTTCTATTTTCTGTTTTATTTTATACCAGTTAAAACTATAGACGTTATGGATCTTTAAATTGTTGGTGTAATTATGAATACAACAATAGTTAGAATAGAAATCAGATGTGTAGCTTGAAAATTATGCATTTTATTTTTTTTTTATTATTTCTCGCTATATAAAATGTGGAGTAGAGTGGAGAGCTTCAAGTCGAGAGGCAAGTGGACACGTAGTGTTATGTTCTGCGCATGTGTGGGGGAGCAAAGCGGAGGATTTAAGTGAAAAACCAATGATCCCATTTTTGTCCTCGGAATTTATAATAACCTCTTTTTTAATTTTTATGTTGTAACGCGTGGTGGCTTAAGATTTTACTAAAGTATTTCAATTGGTTAAAAATAATTGATCCACCTATTTAAGTGGAAACTAATAGTCATATGTTTTTCTTATAATTTCTAAGCTTTTATTTTTATTTAAGACGTAAAACATGATGTCTTAAGTGTGCTAGAGAAGATATACAATGACTAAGGTGATATAATACTTATTTTCATTTTTTATAGTGTTTTGTTCTTTTTGCTATCTGGTTACCATGTAATGGATTGACATCTATGTTCAAATGATGTATTTTTATTTTTATACCGTAAAATAGGGGTAATATGGATATTGATTTATTTATTCAATTATAAATAAAAAATCAAAAATACTAAAATATATATAACTAAAAATTATAATCATTTAGCTTTATAATTATTTATTATTTTTATTAATTAGTTATAAAATTTAAAAGATGAATTAACTGAATGCAAGAGGAGTGAAATACAGAGTTGAAGGGCAGAGAGTATGCACATATTATAATATTTTTTATAGGTTATAGTGTTTTAGTTGCTATTACTTTATTAACTAAAAATACAATAAATTCTTTATTGATTTATTAAAATCTAACCTTTTTACTCATCCTTTCGTATAATATATTCATAGTAGATATTTAAAATTTGAACAGTATAAATATAATAATGCTATTTTGATTTATTATAGTGTTAGAACGGGGGAGTATTTTTCTTTAACATTACTCAGAGTTTAGGTTCATTTAACTTTAATCATTATAGATCTAATTTAATTATTATCAAGTTATATGCGATGATAAAATATATATCTTTGTTTTTATATAATTTTATAATTGTTTGAATCACACGCAAAATTCAGAAAACATAGCCCAAAGTGACATATTTCATTTTAAAGCTGAATTACAGTGGATATAAAATAATCCAAACATATAAGTGGATCAAATATTAGTATATAATTTAGATGTTATGTTGCTTAATTGCTTAACGCAATTCCTTTTGTTTTTCTAACTAATAAACATTAAAATAGAAGAAAAAATAGGTGAAAAAGAAAGGAAAGAATTGAGGGAATAGGGGGACGTACGTAACGTACGTATATACTTGCCTACAGGTCTAGGTGCGCCCAGTATTTGGGAGATGATATTTTTAGAAGATAAATCTAATGGTTATAAATAGTGGGTCCGCGAAATTAAATAAAAATCAACGGTAAGATGTTTTGCCTTTTTTTAGAAATTTTAAGAATTTTTTTATTTTTATGCCACGTGGCGGCTTAGAAACGTTTGTAAATGCTATGTGGTGGTTTAGGAGTGTTTATAGTAAGTTTAATGGACTTTTAGTATATAATAGATAGATAGATAACAGATAGATAGATAGATGAATAGAATAAAGTGCATACCAGGAGTGGCATAATGAACAAGATTCCACTGTAGTCACCAGGCCAATGCCCATCATGTGCTTGCAAAGTCGAATATTGATTAAGAGCTCGTCGCAATGAAGACAATATAGTTTCTTCGGTAACATTTTGATTATCTTCAACTATGACAGCCGAAAGATCTGGTTGTAGATGCCCTAATTTGGCATACTGCAGAGAAGAGATACCAGTTAACAAAAAGGATCAACTGTCTGAAAAGACTTATTAGTTTTGTAACAAATTATGCTTCCACGACCTCAGTAATTCCTAGGCCCTTTATATAGACTGAAGATTTTTTTCTTATAAAAACTCGGACCTTATTGGGCCAAAACTAAGAGGTCATAAGATAAGACACTATCAATCCCATGCATTTGAGTACTCTATCGATATTTATATGGACTATCTATATTTATGTCGCCGTATTTTTCATGAAAAAATAGTCAACACACTACTAGAAAACATCAAATAGGTGTCGACACTTATAGGTGACGGAAGTGCTACAACTGGCACCTACATATAGGCACTGAGTCCCTATTCTGCAGTAGTGTATTTACGATGTAAATATCAACAGGTCTGATACTTGAGTGCATGCAATGAGAAGAAAAAAATATCAACAAATTAAGTTCTGCAGTAGACCACTAATCCACTGACCTAGGGATGAAAACGGAGCAGATACGGACGGATAACGCTCATACCATATTCGTTTTTATATTTTTTTACCAGATACGAAAATGAATACGGATAGCTCGAATACAGAAACAAATACGGATTATCTCGATTACGAATAAGAATCGAATATGATCGGACACGAATACGGAAACAATTTTTTCTCGGAACACGAAAACCAACTCAGCTTCTAATAGAAACAAATATCAACATATATAATTAGCTCATTTTATATAAAATGAAGTATAATTTATAAATATTTTTTACAATTTAAATAATATTAATACGGTAAATCTAATTGGAGAGGCCTCTCCAGTTAGTCTTAACCAGAGACACCCACGTGCTAGTACTTTTAGGAGTTTTGGTTGCTATTAGTATATCCAATAGTGCATATCTTAGTTTTCTTCTTATAGAATTTTGTCTTAAACTAGTTATCCAATCTACAATCTGATTATACCATTACGTTCGTTGCAATTAAATCTTTACAACAAGATCTTACATGATTGTATTACGATAAAAAAATATTTATATTTATAAATTACTTTTATTATATACGTAAGTTACTTTTATCATATATATATAAGTTACTTTTAGATTTGACTAAATTACTTCTATACATTCATAATACTCTAAGTTGATTATTTTTATTATTGTTTTTAGTTAATTCTATATTTTGTGGACTTTATAAATCTTCTATACACTTTACTTGCGAATTTACTCTACATAGTTTCTTATTTCAGCTCACTCACAATTTAATTATTTGGGCCCCTAATTATTTCTACTACAGAGAGTAAAATTACTCCCTCCGTTTCATAACGTAAGTCATTCTAGCATTGCCCACATTCATATAGATGTTAATGAATCTAGACATAGAAAAGTTACATTATGAAACGGAGGAAGTACTTCTATTGCATAACTAAGTTACTTCTGTTGCATATAATTACTTCTACTACAGAAAGTTATTTCTATTACATAGCTAAGTTACTTCTATTGTATAGCTAAGTTACTTCTACAATTTAAATACATTACTTTTAAATTAATAAAATATTTGAATATATCCAATATGGATCTTGCATTGTCACATATTTTATGTAGAGTATAACGATGCAAATATATCTTGAAAATAATACATGATTTAAAATATATAAGTTATTAAAGAGCTTAAATCTAAAATTAATTTATATATATGATAAAACTAACTTACATATATAATAGAAGTAACTTACATATAATAAAATTTACAACATACATATATTTTTTATCAGAATATAATCATATAAGATCTTGTTGTAAAGATTTAATTGCAACGAACACAACAGTATAATCAGATTATAAATCGGATAAGTAATTTAAGAGAAACTTCTCTAAGAGGAAAAAAAATACATAGATATTGAGTGTACTAGTAGCTTTTTTTTTTTTGAAAGAAGGGTGTCTCTCTTTAGCACTATCCAGCTAGCACTCTCAGTGTAGTTGTGTCCATTTTAATAGTATAGACTAATGTTAAGAGATAAACTACTATTAAAATCTATAAAGGTATATTGAAGGAAACCTCGATACCATAACCATATTCGTATCCGTATCCGAACTATCCGAGAATTATCCAGTCCAAGAGGTATCTGTTTTCGTTTTTGTCCGGAGCGGACGGAAACTATATGGTCCGTTTTCATCCCTACACTGACCTATAACTTGTAGTTACGCGTAATATAATTAATTATAATAGCACGAATCCTATGACCGATCCAACGGCACAAAAACTGACTGTAACCAACCAGAAAATGTGTCACCAAAAATTTAGCAAAACCGTATTTATATTTACCACAAAAAATTTTATAAAAAAGAATACCACTAAAAGCGCTACAACGGAACACCTTTAATTTGGAGCCCACACTTCTCTGCCGGTTGACAAAAGTTTACTCCGTATCGATCACTGCCGGTTCAATATGCTACAGTTTAGACCTTGGTTTATGAAGGGATAATTTAAATACAACATTATTTTCTGCCTGATGGAAATCCAAATAAATCACTATATTTTTTTTTACTGGGATCTATGTTTACCTTCTGACCAACCGATCCGACACTACCTAAAAAAGCATTTTTCTATCTGGCCAAACCCTATTTTTCCATGTGGTTGGGACGCCTGTATGCCCCAAAAGGTCTCCAAAAATTGCGATTTTTCCATGCAGTTACCACATCTGCATACGAAAATCCGGGTGCTCATGTGTGCCACGTGAAAAAATAAAATTCCCCAAAGAAAAAAACACCTCAAAATTGAAAAACAGAAACCCTAGCTAGCCTGGTGCCGGCCACTACCTTCCCGCCGTGGCCACTCCTGAGGTCGTGGGTGGTGGATCCGCCCGCCCCTGCAGCTCGCCGCTACCGCCACCGCTCCTTCGGTCAAAGGGCATGGATCTGCTCGCCGCCATTGCTCCCGTTGTTGGGGGAGGGGGTACGGTGGATCTGCCCGCTCCCATTGTCCTGAGGTTACCCATCACCGAGCACCCGAGATAGCCGCCGTTGTCGCTGCCTACCACCAAGGCCATCAAGGGGCTGAGCCCAAGGAAGCCGAAGCCGCCCGCTGCCTGCCACCGGCCACACCCACTGCCCACCGGCCGCTAGCCACTGAGAGAGAGGGAGAGGAGGTGAGACAGAGAGGAGAGGAGGACTGAGAAGATAAGGTTGGACTTAGAAGAAAATGTAATGTGTTGAGAAGGAAAGTGGAGGCAAGTTAGGCGGATCCATAAGAGATCCGTCTACGAAAATATATTATTGCATGTGGCACTTAAGAGGTCCGCCTGTAAAAATAGGCTAACTTTCGCATGCAGCTACTTAAGTGGTTCGTATGTGAAAACTAATTTTTGCATCTGGACATCTTAAGGAGCCGTATGTGAAAATGGAGGTCGATTTTATAGACGCGGCTACTTATGGTCCATCTGCATCCAAATTAACGAAGGTCTCGTCCAGAAAAATTATTTTTTAAGTAGTGCAAGATAATTTTTTTATTACACATTTACTGTTCTTGACATATATCTGTCTGCAGAAAATGTTTTTATTAGAAACATACATATTCAGTTAGATATATCATTTGTAGTAATATCTAGGAATGTACAAATTTCTTAATTGTACTATTAGGGGGGAAGAGGAGTTCCAAAACCCGGCTCAGATCGGCTAGCTTGAGGCCTTGTTAAGTTTGCGAAAAAAAAATTTTAGGTGTCACATCATCGGACATTTGACCATATGTCGGAAGTGGTTTTCGGAGACGAATGAAAAAACTAATTTCATAACTCGGCTGGAAACCAAGAGACGAATCTTTGGAGTCTAATTAATCCGTCACTAGCACATGTGGGTTACTGTAACACTTATGGCTAATCATAGACTAATTAGGCTCAAAAGATTCGTCTCGCGATTTTCATGCAAACTGTGCAATTAATTTTTCTTGTTATCTATATTCAATGCTTTATGTATGTTTCTAGAGATTCGATGTGATGTTTTTGTAAAAAAAAATTAGGAGCTAAACCGGGCCTTAACAAGCCAAGACGAGACAGCTATTTTGCTCGTTGAGCTACGAGCCGATCCTGATCCTGAGCCAGTTCACGAGCTACTTGTTAGGCTCGTTATACTCGTTATTTCAGTTTCATGTCAGTTTCGCATTTGCCACTCCCGCATCCCAATCAGATGGCCCAGCCCAGTACAGTAGGCCAGTAGAAAGCTCCCCATCGTCCTCAATAGGTCTGTTGAAAAAGCTCGAGACCTATTAGGCTACTTTAAGAGCATCTCCAATAGTCTCTCTATCGGTCTCTCCAAGTCAAATTTTAACCATTTAAGTAAAAAAAGAGATCCAACAGACTGGCCAACCGAATGGCCAAGCCATCCAGCTGACCAAACTCGCTCGCTGGCTGGCTAGATTTGGCTAGTCAAAACGCCTGCCAACACATCGATCGGTCGGCGCGGCTGGTGTACTCCTCGCGAGGTCGGAGTGGGCGCCGTCGTCGTCGTCGGGGTCGTCATCTAGGTCGTCGTCGGGGTCGTTGTCGAGGTCGTCGGGGGCGCCGTCGTCGTCATCAGGGTCATCGTCGAGGTCATCTTCGAGGTCGTTGTCGGGGTCATCCTCGAGGTCGTTGCCACGAGCCACCACCGCCATCGCAATCCCCGCCCTGTGCTCCGCCGCCTCCCGCCTCCCCATGCCGCCGCCGCCATCTCCATCCCCGCCCCAAGCTCCGTCGCCTCCCACCTCCCCGCGCCACCTCCCGCCTCCCTCCAGCGTGGTCGTCGCCTCGACCGGAAGGAAGGAATGGGGAAAAAGGAAAGAGAAAGAAGAAGGGGGAGAGGGAGAGAGAAGAAGAGGGGAGAGTGGCTGATATGTGGGTCCGATTTTATTTTGGAGAGAATTAATAGAGAGTCTGTTGGAGTAAATATCTAGTTTAACTAGCCAAATCAGATGAAGAGTTGGCTATATTAGCGTTTGAAGAGTTCGATTTAGAGAGGCTGTTGGAGATGCTCTAACTTGGCTCCTATTAGGCTAAGCTTGAGCTGGATTTGAACTTCAAATGAGCCAAGCTCGAGCTTATCTTCTGACTCACTCCATCAAACCACATGGTCACACGTGTCTTCATTTGTTGTTTCACACTAGCTAGCCTACTGCAATTAACAATCCAGCACAAGCACAATATCGAATAAATATTTGGTGTTCTTTTCTTATTAAGATATAAAATTTTCATCGATTTCTGTTAGCACGCTTTTTAATTTACTAAACGGTATGTTTCGTGCGAAAACTTTTTATATACAAGTTATTCTAAAATACCAAATAAACCCATTTTTCAAATTTTCAATAATTAAAAATAAATTAATCAAGTTAATAGCTTTCTCGTTTTACGTACCCTTTCTTCATCTTCATTAGATCCCAACTAAATGTTTTATAAGCAAATCTTCATTAGCAAAGTAGACTTTGCCCAATGGCAATCACTTTTTCCCTGAAGGAGTCAGGAGTGCATGGCATGCATAGTTGACTTGTAGTAGGAGGAGTACAGTAGCAAACCTTGAGAAAAACTCAAAGCTCGAACGGGCTGAGTCGGAGCCCAACATAAAGCTCAAGATTTGATGAGGCCCGAGTCGAGTCCATACAAAGCTCGAGCCTGGCTGGGCAGGCTCGATCAAGTTGATAATCCTACTCCCTATTCCCTAACAGTACACAACCTTAGTCGCACGTACGCACGCAAGAAGCTAGGGCCCACGAGACACGTCACGTCGGTCGTGCGAGTGGGAGAACGCCACGTTTCGCGCCCCAGCTCTCCTGTGCCGCCGGCCACTACTCCCAGAGTCTCGCTGTCCCCTGATAGACTGCCCCGTCGCCTCCCAGTCCCATGCGCCCCTACTCCTCCCGTAGGGGCTCTTCTGCAGGGTCGCGCCACTGACCATGCAAGTGAATATAGTCTCGTCACCCGTATAAAAAATATGTTTGTTAGTTTATTTTAAACTCCCTTCATACTCATAAAGAAAGTTGTTTAGCACAATGTTTAAATCAAACATTGGGAATAAATCATAAATAACTCTTAAGTTATTGGGTTTGAAAATATAAAAATAATATAAATAGATTTATCTTGAAAAATACTTTTATAAAAGTATACATATATCACTTTTAAATAAATATTTTTACAGAAACATATATCACTTTTCAATAAATATTTTTATAGAAATAACAAGTTAAAGTTGTGTTTTGGAGACCGTATCGCTGTCGACTTTCTTTACGAGTACGGAGGGAGTATATAGCAGTACAAAATTTAGAAGAAAAAGTTAATTAGAAATAGGACAAGTAGACAAACAAAGCCCGCTTGTCTCGTCCCGCTTGCATCCCTACGCGCCACTTCCATGCGCCGCCTCAGCACTGCAGGCTAACGCTGCCCTTTATGCCCTCAGGCCCTTAGCACCACACTGCATGGTTTGGAATGCCGGTTGGCATGCGTGAAGTCCAAGAACCGCAGCAAGGGGAAGAACTCGTCAGCGACATCTCTAAGGCTTTGTTTGGTAAATGAGATTGGAAAATAATATCCCACCCTCCAAAGAGCAATATTGCATCATATCTATTCATTCCTCACACCTTATTTAATCCTACCCATTAATCCATTTCCCTTTTTCAATCCCACCTCCCATATCCCATTTGCCAAACACACTCTAAATTCTAAGTGCTTAGTGCTCTCTATATCCTAAGTGGTTGCACTGACTGGATGAGTGGACTATAACATAGTGCTTTCTAGATTCTTATGATGTTTGATCCTATCTCATTGCTTTATTCCTTCTAACATCATTACTAGCTACTGCGGCATGATGTATTCTTGGTGTGGATGTAGTGGATCATATTAATTAATTAACAGGATTGCACAAGGGTTCAAAGGAGTCAATTCGATCGTTAACTAGCTAATTAAATAAGCTCAACTAGCCAGTTCACTGAGCTGAGCCAAGTTGGCATTTCACCTCGTTATATATACTCTTAATGAGCCGAGCCGGCTCGTTATAACGATTTAGACCGAGCCGAGCTTAATCAGCCAAGCTATCCTATCTAGTACAGGAATGATTTTCCTGGATGGCAGTCATTTTAAATTGTAGACGGATCGTAAGTGGTCGCGTCTGTAGAAATCGTGCTCCATTTTCGCGTGCGGCTCTTTAAAATGACCGCACGGAAAAATCAATTTTCACAGGCGGGCTTATTTTCGCATGTGGACCTGTTAAATGACCCGCACATGAAAATACCACCCACATTTTTAATCTCGACATCGCCGCCCCACACCCACACTCTCCCTCTCAGATCCCGTCTCCTCCCGTCTCACTCTCGCACGACTCCTCCCTCTCCCTATCCCTCTCCTCGTCCCACTCCTTCCTCTCCCTATCCCTCTCCTCGTCCCACTCCTCCCATCTCCCGGCGATGGCCTCGGCTAGGGCGGCGGAGGTAGCGGCATCGGTTAGAGCGGCCGAGGCGGCATCGGCCAGTGTGGCAAGCGGGAGGCCGAATCCGTCGCCTGCTACCGCGGGGATGCCGGATCCGTCGCCGGCCACTACGGGGACTACTGCAGCGGGCCTCAGGCAAGGCGGCGATGATGACGGTGGTGACGGCAACGACGAAGTCTAGATTAGGGTTCCAGGAGGCTTTTGATTTTTTTTTCGATTTTTTATTTTCCCGTGCGGGCGGTTTAAGCGCCCGCATGCGAGATTTTCGTAGACACCTCGTTCTAGACGGGTGGAAGATCTGCACACAAAAATCAATTCCAACCGCACGGAAAAATCGTTATTGTACTAGTGCCATCCTTATCTATATCATTAATATTTTATATCATGACTGAATTACTTTCATAAATAATAAGAAAATTATAGAAACATTTTAATAGATAATTACCAAGTTGAATATGATAAGTTGTCGTAGCAATCAAACATTCCTGTTTAATATTTTATATTGGTAGTCTTGACAATATATAACTCATGGATTCTTCATCCGGTCAGTCTTTTACTGGATTCCGTAATATTAGAATTAGATATTAGGTGGTCATGCTTAGGATAATAGTTGATATCAAGATCAGTCCCATAAAAAAAAGAGGTTGATATCAAGAGATTACAAAGCTCACACTTACGACTGTACCACCACAGCACACCAGTAGTATTAAGGAAGTAAAACGGACCAAAGCGTTAAAAACAAAATTTGTTAATTAATAACTAACGTGCCTGCATCCGCATGAGGAGGTCCTGTGACTCCTTCCTCTGGAAGCGGTGGCGGGTGAAGTCGCGGCGCAGCCTCGCCACCTCGGCGCGCTCCTCCGGCGTGCCGGCGTCGGGATCGAACTCCCACACTGCCCTGCCTAGGAAGCCGTTGCCCGTGTGCAGCAGCGGGCTGCTGCCGCTGCCGCCGCCGCTCTCCGCCGCGATCTTCAGCCGCCACATGCTTGCCTACTTGCTTTTGCTTTATTTTACCAGTGGTACTGCTTGGTGAACAAATTAAGGAGCTTGCACTTGCTAGGGTACGATGTCTATCTTATATAGTAGAAGCCGAACGAGTGCAGGCCACACCATCCACCTACCTTACCATTTTTTTTCTCAGTAGGGTAGTGTCGTGGGTGTTTATGTGAACATGTACGATCATTTATTGTACTCTACATTTGAAAACTGGAACGGAATATATATCTTGTGACTGGTAAAGTCACCATAAGCGAGGCCTATGAACACAAACATACACACCTAACTATATAAGCACCGTACTAACTATATAAGTACCATACATCTGAAGATTGAGCCATCATATCTTGAGAGTTATAGTAGATGCCTTGCTAATAGCGGTACACCGATTCACTGAAAAAAAATAAATAACCTTAAATACGAGCATTTGTGCCAAGTATAGAATTTGAATCAGCATGAATAGTTTTCACCAGCAGAAATCTAGCTAACCAGTTAAGCCACACTGATCACTTCGCAACCTTTATTTTAAATAGCACCTATCTTAATTCATTGCTTCGATGAATAGTACGATGGTGTGGTCTCTGAAACGTGCTACCCACTAGGCGTTTGTATGTACTATTGATGGTAGATGATAACAACAAGCCGAATTGATGTTGATTTAAGGAAATAGGATAAACCTGGTCTCTACGTGGTTCGATGTAGACGGGCAACTGATGAATTGTAGTTGAAGGCTCTCTTCATGTTCTACCAAATTTATTGCGTTTATATTTTGATTTCGACTAAGGCCTGTTTAGTTCCCAAAACAAAATTTTTCATGCTGACACATCGAATATTTGGACACATACATGGAGTATTAAATGTAGAAAAAAAACCAATTACACAGACTGCATGTAAATTGTGAGATGAATCTTTATAAACTAATTGTGCCATGATTCGATAATGTGGTGCTACAGTAAATATTTGCTAATGACGGATTAATTAGGCTTAATAAATTTGTCTCGCAGTTTTCTGGCGGATTCTATAATTTGTTTTGTTATTGGACTACGTTTAATACTTTAAATGTGTTTCCGTATATCCGATGTGACAACCAAACCCAAAACTTTTCCCCAACTAAACGGGCCTGATCTCACCTAAAAATTGTTACCATGTCAAATCAAACGTCTAAACACCTACATGAAGTATTAAATATAGGCTAAAAAATAACTAATTATATAAATTACGACTAATTTGTGAGACGAATCTTTTAAGCCTATTTGCTCCATGATTTGACAATGTGTTATGTGCTACAGTGTATATTTGCTAATGACAGATTAATTAGGCTTAATAAATTTGTCTCTTGGTTTACTGATGGATTATGTAATTAATTTTTTTATTAGTGTCCGAACACTCCCATGCGACACCCTATATAATACTCGATTTGACATGCTAAAACTTACACCCCTGGATCTAAACACCGCCTATGTACTGATGAATTGTAGTTGAAGGATCTCTTCATGTTCTACCAAGTTTGCATTCCAAGGCATATGTCTCACGTGTACAACAATACTCCCCTTCTATTCCAAAGGCATGCAATTGCGTACTTACACACATCTATATGGATTGTCTACAGATTACCATAAGTGCGAGGAAAGTTAAGAGACTCGGGAATGGCTTCTATAATCAACGTTGGCACCGCGCCTTGCCGTAGGTTATGTAGTTTTATCGTCATGTTTCAAATGGTTAGATGCAACTACAAAATATATGATAATATGGCTTTATATAAACCCAATGTTATTACAATGCAATTCATGCTTTATTTTTCAAAGTGTTATTATGTATTGTTATAATATGTGAATATTATATTGATGTGCAATATGGGTATCTTGCAACTAGATAGTTTGCATCTATATCTACTTCTCTCAGGCTTGCTCTGAAAATGGTTTCAAGTAACGATACATAATTGTTACATGCTATTTAATCACGTATAATAAACCAAAACTAACATTTTAAACAATAATTTGAGTTGTATTTAGAAAAAAAGTTAAGCATTATTTTGGAAGAGAAAAAACATGACGCTCTGTGTAAAATAGGAATGTGAATGTACGACTAATATATGATTAATTTAGATGGATAGGTAGCTGCTTGAACTAACGGTTGTTATCTTTATACAAATATGATCTAATGGCTTAAAACTATATATCGATGATGTGGATTTTTACATGTCTTGCTTTATAAGAGTAAATGTATTTTAGTGGGTATCAACTATACTGAAAAAGATATGATCATAATGTAGTAGCTGTGTTCTGAACTACCTTCCTTTCTTTTTTACTCGATATTTTGGAAACCAGACAATTCTGTGATGCTCGTGTTAAAACATTATTTTTTTTTTGTAAAAATATGCTTTAGAGGAGCCAACGGAGGTGGCGTGGAAGCTTGGACCAGGTCTGTGCTCATGGCAACTTTCGAGCTCACAGGTAGCAATGATGCTTGTGGCGGCAGACTACGTGAGATTTGAGGAGGTGGGAGACACCGGCGGGCGTAGATCTGGAGTTGGTGCCACAGGATGACGATGGCATGAGCCTCCACCACCCACTAGCACTTAGGGGTGAAAACGAAGTGGATTTAGACGGATAATAGCTATACCATATCCTAAACCATATTTTTATAAGCGGATGCGGAGCGGGTGCGGATGACGTGCGGATGCGGATGCGGAGCGGATTATTTCGGACGTCGGATTCGGTGTGGAGTCGGTGCGGACTCGGTTCAGAAACAGACAAAAAGTTGTCGGATGTCAAGTTTGTATTCAATCCATACAATAAGAGGGCGGCAGTACAATTAGCCCCAATACGATAGCAAAACATTATTAGTTCATTGCGTTCAGTTCAATAGTAATAGTATAACTATAAGTGTTCAGTTGAATAGTTCACTAGTTAAAATAATCCAAGGTACATCCATGATCCATAAAAATATAATATAAGTGTTCAGTTTAATAGTTCACTGGTCACTGCGTTGCTTAAAATATAAAAATAAAAGTCATCGGCATGAGACAAGCCATACAGGCATACAGCAAGCATAGAGCAGTAGAGCACGCTGCAGTGCTACACGCAGCATACTGCATACTGGCATGCAGCAGTAGTAGTACAGGCGTACAGCACAAAACACACAGCAGTGAGCACTGCACACAGCCACACACCAACATGCCCTTCACACTTCACTTGATAACTTCTCAATTCTCATTCTCCATCATCACTGCTCTGTTGCTTTTCCTATAATTATGAGCAATCAATATACAATTCTTTTGACAATAGGACTACAAAATGTATGCAACCAAATATATGCAATAAAATGTCATACCATATCATCAATCTCGTCAAGTGTCATACTAGCAACCAAGGTCTCCGCAACCTCAAGATCATTAAGAATAGAACCAACTCCCATTTTATTAGGATCTAAAAAATTTAGAAGAAAGCTATATTAGACTATTAATAAAAAACCAAGAATGCCTTTTACAAAAATATAAATGAGAAATGACACAATTGATCACCTCTTCTACATCCAGCAATCCAATCCTTGGTACAAACTAGTGCTTCTACCATTTTGGGTTTAAGTTTAGTACGAAATAGATCAAGAACACGTCCCCCAGCACTAAAAGCTGATTCTGAAGCATCAGTGGAAGCTTGAATGGACAAGACATCACGGGCAAGAAGAGATAGCACAGATATACATCTTTGTGATGAGCTTTCCACTATGACAAAACATCAAATTTATCTCTATTAGGAACCAACAGGGATGGTTCAGCCTTATATTTATCCAAGTCACTTGCATCACTTCCACTATCCACACTTAAGGCGTAGACATAATTCATGAAATCAGAATCTGCTTCTTCTATGGTATGAATTTCTTTTGGTTCAGCATTGACAGTAGTTGTTGGTGCAATATTAATCTTATAAAAAGAAGCATATTCTTGATAAAATTGATTAACAACACCGGTAAACTTTTCCATATGAACATGATATGATTGCTTCCCATACAGCCTCATCATCTTATACTCTACTACCTGTCTTAAACCTACTGTCCAAGATGAAGTTTCTCCTTGGGACATCGTTCATAAAACCTAGCCGAGCCAATCGAGCCCACAGTCGACGCTATCCACTCTCACCGCACGCCCCTTCGGTCTCCTCCACCCAATCCCCTTCGCCCCTTCACCTATACGTGCCGCCCCTCCACTTTTTCCCTCCCCACATTAGCGGTGACATCCCTCCCCCCATTAGAATGGCACGGCAGCCATATGTTTCGCGTCATGGCGCAACGACGGCGAGGGTACAGCACAAAAGCCGTTTCCTTCGACACAGTGCAACGACGGCGTGGGCACGACGGAAACTGTTTCGTCGGCATGGTGCAGTGATGGCAGGGGTATGGTTTGGAGACAACCTTCCCTCACCATCTCCGTCTCCCTCTCCCTCTCGGCCTCTTTGTTTTCGCTGTCAGATCTGGGAGACGTTGGTGGCGGGGACTTGGGCTTGAGGGAGACGACTACAGACCAGGGAGGATGATGACGGCATGGGTGGTGAGTTCGGCTTGAATCGAGCTGGCTTTCTTTTTTTTTTCTCGTGCAAAGCTAAAGGTGCCATTTTGTTTGGATTGGTGTTGATAAATTGGTGTCAGATAAAAAACCGGCACCCATGGCTCTTTACGAACCGAGACCTCTCACATCTTCTGTAGTTGTGTTGAAGCCAAATGAGCGAGTGTGTAAGCATACGATAGTTAACTCTGGCCAGCCGTGTGCTAACTAAAACCATAGCTAAGGAATAGTTAAAAGCAGACATAAAGTGTAGTACAACTTTCTCTCGTTACAGGACATGTAGTAATACAATAGTAAATACTAGAAAATTGACGCGCCAGCATCTAACCCGTATATATTTTATAGAACACATTTAAAAACAGGACATGTTTCAAGTGAAACATGTTAATTTGTTTCACATTATATTTGTATTACTAATATGGCTCGAAAAAAGTTATCATTTTTCGCTCTGGATGGTAGAAATTCCCACATTAGCCACTGACAAATAAAAAGATTTGGACCATTAGATTCAAACGGTGTACATACAAAATACAATTGTAGCTATAGAAACAAAAGCTAGCAGTTGTATATGAGATCCAATCATATTTTTAAAAGCTATTGAT